CCCATAAAACCGACGTCAAGCTGTTAAAGTTTGCGGTTTTAAAAGTACATAGACTTTATTTCTTCATAGAAGTTGAATCAGCAGAAAAAGATTCAGCTTAATAAGCAAACAAATTCGAAACCCCGCTCAAACTTCGGCACTTGTATTTTTATGCAGGCATCCGGTGACGTGCATCCGGTACCTGAGCGCTGCCGCAACAGAACGGCTTCCTGCTAAAAACTTTAAATCTCCTCATTTGCAGTAATTAAGCTATACAACATATATATAATGCACATTAAACCAAGTTATTTGCAAATTTTCCTGGGAATAAGTAGCTATATATTGCTAAAAATAATCAAAATCAATATCCCAGTACAATATTTCAGAGCAATGTTTAAATAGCGATATAATAGGATGAATAATCACATAAAAAACTCACAAACTGCACTTGTTCTGAATTAAACAAACAGATTCCTTGTATCTTTTGTTGTAGTGAGTACCTTTACCAGTCTAAGCCAATAAACTTGTAAGCATAACCGAATACTGAGCACCTGCCCTTTCAACTATTCTTACTTCCGACTAACCATAAACCATTTTTCTCCGTGTATTTTACCACCGTAACTTCCAGTACTCGTGCGTATCCTAAGCAATCATCTTCATATGTTTCGCTTTAATTAGTGAAAGAATAAAACTTCATAGCAATGAGCTTAGAATTAAGAGTTTTTATCCAGAAAGCAAACAGTGCAGAAATGCCGAATGATACTAAAGCGCGTCTATAAGAATTACTTTTAACAGAAATTTCTTCATGATCTTCATATCATATTATTTCCAGCTTTATCCCATCCCATCTAAAAACTGCTTTTTGTTAATTAAATGATCAGCACGCTACTGCTAGAAAACGTATAGCGATGTGCCCAAAATACGACGAGTTCTTCAAAAGACAGGTGGGAATAAAAGTGTTAACGTCATAAAATTTCAGAGATTACCTTACCGTAGCTTTTCTTTCAACTAAATTTCGAGAGGAAAGAAACACTGTCAAAATCAAATAACTGCGTTAGGAAATCTAGAACGGAACAAAGACTTGGCTCTCAAATAGCAAGAAAAATGAGAAAAAAACCAGAATTGAAAGCAATGGATAGTCCCAGCAACACTTCCAACTCTTACTCATAGGAGAACTGTCCAGTCGTTTCCCTTATGCTCCTTACAGTTGAATAGTTACCAGATTTAACTGCTTGACGATAACGACAAATTATAAAAAGTTTCTTTACTTATCATTATTCTTTGCCATTCTTCAAAAACAAGTTTAGCTAATGTAACATTCAGACTAGATCCAAGATCTGTTAGTTAACAGTTGATGTCATATGTCGCACTACAACCAAAACGATGGGGATAGGATGATCGGCAGTTACTAAAGTATTTATGAACTTTTCCAATACAACGTACTGTGAAGTTCACATAACTTTCTCTTGGTTCCAAAGA